TACATGTGTGTAAAATCCAGAGTCGAAATTCCCTGGTGTGGAGATTTTTTACTCATAAACATTAGCTCGACTAAGTCGTGCTTAAGAACTAACTAAGAAAACAGGGGACTTAAAGCAAACCGATTTAGTTTTCATTTTTGTTCCGGTCTGAATTTCATGAAATCGCTTTGGGAATAGATTTCAAGGGGAGGTAATTCGTAATTGCCGAAATAATATATAAGGCATTTCGTGGCTGGCTTTTGTCAGTACGCATTTCCATTACAAACGAAAAATCAAAACATTACGCAAATGGTTACTTCAAAATGGCAGTTGTTATCCAAATCAGATACCTCCTTTGACACCCCTACATTCTCCACACACACACACAGAAACATACACACAGAAACACACATGTCATTTTCCCTCTCTTTTTTTCGGCTTACGTTAATATCTCTTTATATCTTTTTCTTTATTTCTCACAGAGCGAAGAATTTGGTCATTGCTTCAGGCTGAGTGAGCAAGAATTCAGTTTTATTTGTCGGTGAATCGTAAAGAAAAATATCTTACACATGAAGACCCCAGATATAGCATGACCCAATCGTGCACGATTTCGGCTAGAATATAATATTATAGTTTCCATCCCTAATCGAACGAAATATCGCAGAGAATAAACAAGAAATCATTCTTGCGATCGGAGAGCGCCCGTGTCCAGTACATTGGATGTGTTTTCTTTTAATCAACATTGAACTGAAATCACCTGAAATGCAAAATTCTTGCAATGATATATATATATATATATATATATATATATTTATTGCTTGTGATTTCTCATTGTCTATGTCATTGTCTGTGGATGTATGTATGTGTATCTATCGGTGTCTATGTGTATGTAGAGTGTATTCACATTTAACTGTGTGTGTGTATAAGTGTTAGTTTCCACGTCTCCTTTTTTCATAAAGGGCTGTAGAGATGTTCATGCATCCCCTCCACCTCCTTTTTTTTTTTTTAGTTTGTGTGTGTGTGTGTGTGTATCTAATTATGTCTGGGTGCTTATGTATTATAATCTGATTGTGTTTTTGTTGTTTTTACGCGTGAGTTTAAGACCACATTCACTAACTTTAAAATAAAAACGGAAAAGAAAGGAAAAAAAAAATATATATATACATGTATTGTCAAATGACCGGATGTATTGTAGCGTCTTGTCGAACGTAATTTCAATGAAGAAATGAATTGAATAAACATATATATTTTTTCTTTTCTCAATAATTTTGTAGTTTTTAAACTTAATAGTGATTAAATTTGGATTTTAAAATTGCCAGTTTTTAATTTTAATATTAAATTTTATCATATAATTTTATAATTATTATTTAGTATAAATTATTTTTAATATTACACGTATTTAAAGATCTGAATAGCTATTATAGCAGGATTTCGTTGTCAAGCTTTTGGATCTTTCTATACTTCGTTTTTGATTGGTTATTCTAGCTTTTATAACAATGTTTCCCCCCTAGTGTAGGATCGTTAATTAATCTGAAACTTTTTAAAACCATTTATTTTCTTTTCAACATCATCACTTGATAAGACACAGAATGTGTTGAAACAAAATGGCTATTTTTGTAGTGATTTTATAACATACTTATGTTATAATTTTTTTATAAAAAATAATTATATATATATATATATATATATATTTGTGTGTGTATTTGGGCAACAATCCCTTTTTCATGCAAGTTATGTTAAAAAGGACTGACAAGATAGTGCGATTAAGTTTTTATTTAATTTTTCATGTGTTCATTTAATTTTCTTCTTTTCTGGAGCTAAATTATACAGAAATTGTACAAATGTGCTGGCCGTGTTTGGAAAACGAAACATTATTATAACTCTAGATACATGCATAAAACAATCGGTACATTCGGATAAAGTAAGAATAAAATTCATCCTTGATAATGTCTAAAAGTATAGTCGAAAGTGCTCGGACATTCAAAACATTTTGACAATTTCCATATAACATTCGTCCAGAAAAGAAAAATACTATAAGAACATATGAAAAATGAAATAAAAACAATTAACCGCAGTACCTTGTCAGTCGTTTTTAATAAAACTTGTATATATATATATATATATATATATATATATATATATAATGGATTCTCCAGTCGGTTTCGACGTATGAGGATCTGACAGCTTATTGATTCAGTCATGAAAGTTTGTGTGATAATCTTAAGTGGCATTTAATACCCGCTAGGGATTTACAAAGGAGAAGCAAGTGTGAGGATTGTGAGATGAGATCACTGTTAGATTGGCTGACCTTTTAGACCTTGCTCTCGCTTTTTGAAGATGGTTCAGACAAGCACTGAGTCCACTAAAACACGTTGATCTCCATTCTACCCGCTCCAAGGCTAAGCGCTCAAGGGTGTTATGTGGTATATTGACTGCTGACAATTGCTTTTGCTGTAAATTAGAATATATATATATATATATATATATATATATATATATATATATAATGTACATCTACTTAAATTCGATGAGTGAAAAACCTGGATGGTACAATTCCGAGGAAAAATGTTAAAAATAGACAGCACCTCTAAACTTTAGAAACTTAGAAGCCTCTAAACAGTGCGAAAAAGAAAAGAAAAAAACCATTCAAAACGAGATAGTTCACCCTGATGATATCATATTACTGCCGAAATATATTGTCGATGACAAAAATAAATTTCGGTGGAGCACTTTAGAGAGAAAACGCGAATT